CACACACACACACACACACACACACACACACACACACACACACACACGCACACACACACACGCACACCAGACTCATTCTAATGTGGGTGAAGTGTCTTGCAGAAGAAGCCGCACCCATCACAGCACTAACCATTATTGACCATTCTTAAATAAATATCTGAACAATTTATTTCAGTTTAACTAGATTGGGAGATTTTCCACCATAGATTTTTTTAGTGTGTATAGACATGCAACTGACCCAGAATTAAATGTGCCGTGTGTTGTTTTAAGAACAGTTCTATCTTGTTGTTTTGCTAAAGTTGCAGATTTTATCCACTTAGTTCTATCCACTCGGCACGGTGGCTCTCAGCAAGAAGGTCCTGGGTTCGAATCCAGGTTGGACCAGGGCCTTTCTGAGTGGAGTTTGCATGTTCTCCCCGTGTCTGCGTAGGTTTCCTCCGGGTACTCCGGTTTCCCCTACCACTAAAAATATGTCCAATAGTTCTGGCATGCGCCTCCTGTACTGGCGACCCCGCTCCCATCTCTGTGTGGAGTGAGAGACAAATGCCCAAAATTAACAATTGTAAACCGCTTTGAGACTCTGGTCTGCAGTGAAAAGGCGGTATATAAATAAAGATTACTACAACTAAATGTATGCTTATTTTTGCTTCTTTTTTACTCTAAAGTTACAGGTTTCATTTTGATAAAGAATTCTTGACCGACTGTTCTGTAACTGCTGCCACTTCCCCGCTGTGGGACAAATAAAGGATCTCTTCATCTTAATGCAGAACCACATGATCGACTTTAAAGCCCTGGATTAGTCCCGGTTTATGATATTAGTCTGCGCCTCAGCAGGTCCAGACCACTGACAGGAGAGAGCACATTACTCCTGTGCTGAGAACCCTCCATAGACCTGTGCCTGATTCATTTAGGTTTGATCTTAAAGATGCTTGTGTTTTTAGCTGTTGAAAAGTTTGTGAGTCAATATTATGAGTACAGGTAATTGTAATTTAACTGTTGTTTTTTAAAGCAATAAACACAATTCTTGTCGTTTTTCACTAGAATGTTCCAAATTTGTGATTCAAGTTACAAGATTCAGTGCCTTAACATATCTTTAGTTCATGAATGACCTTTTCATCTGATTATTATTACTGTAAAACTATTGAATTAATTCCCACACTTCCAACATTTAAACTTTACTCTTTTCCAGCACTAATAAATAAGAATTGAAATATGTCTGTTTTTTAATTGAAATATTATTGTTTGCTGTGTGTCGTGATCATAAACCATAAACTAGTAGCGTTAGAAGCTAATTGGGATGTAAGCTAGCTGGAGCCAATTGCTTTTAAAGACATGTCTGCATTTCCAAAGACATTATGAAAACAAACACCGGAATCACAGACAGTGTTAAACCGCCGATTCTTTACAGCGGGAAATGATGATTGTGACGGTTACTGAGCTGGAGGAGTTTAGTTTTACATGGAGAGTCGAGAGTTGAACTAAAACTCTGTCCATGAACACAATTGATGAAGAAATCAACCTGAATTTTGATGATTTTTCCAAACGTGATCATCCCTGGGTCATTTCAACACTTTTAGACTCTGTTTTAGGGTATATTTCTTCTACTTTTAATCATCTATGTCGGGTTATTTTGACATTATTTTGAGGGTAGTACAAGGGTTAAACAACATTTTCCAATACTAACATACTCTAGCAGAATAATAACATTTGCTAAAGCTATGCTGGAGATAAGACTGGTTGTTCCATTGTTATAAAAACTACTAACATTATGTGGACTGTCTAAATGGAGTAGCTCAGTCTATGTGCAGGACCAATGCCTTCGGTCCACCTGTGTTTGCTAATGCTAGGCTAATGCTAATGATCGTCCCAATGAGCCGTGACATGTGCCTCAGGTCCTTTATCCTTCTATGAAAATCCGCTTCCCGCTCATGCAAAACAGGACGAGGTTCAAACCATCAGGAAGAAGAGAAAAACATGCAGCCGTCTCCACTTCGTACCAAACCTTTTTAATAACATACATTCAATTTCTCACTCGCCAATTTCTCCCAAAGTCAAACACAATTTGCAAAAAATATCAAGCCTCGGTTAAAATGAGTTGAATTCAAATATTTTTTGTCGGTTTCAGGTTAAGAATGAGAGATTGGCGCTGAATCCATACAGCACGAGACAATTTGAATATCTCTTGAGCATAAAATAATCCTTAAACTAGAAAAGCACTCGTAGAGCACAGACATCTGCCGAGAAGCACAGTTCAATTTCTTAATCCTTATCATCATAATTCCAGTAACTTGAAGCATTGGTGGTGATAGGATACTTCACTGTTATACTTCATTTTAAAGCTTAGATTCTCAGGAAAACCACCATATACTTTAGTCTTTAACTAATTGGAAGTTAAGTTTGGCCAAAGATTACTATTTTTATGGTTAACTATAAATCTTTAATTACGTCTCTTATTGATATTTAGCCCAATTGTGGTGGAATCCAAACCAACCAGAAAATAATCCAAACTCATGTTGAATAAATTACATGAAAAATATGCAAAGAGAAATGATAACAAAAGAAATCCACCTTTTATACTTTTGGCCCCAACCTGCTCTTACAATGGGGCCAAGTAAAAAGTCACATTATCATTTGGAAAAGACAAAAGTACAGCATCATATTTCTTTAAACCTTTATACCACATAATTTGGGCATTGCCACCGAATGTGATACTTGCTTCCTTATTATGCAAAATAATAGATTTTATTTTCTTTTATTATAGAGTTATTATTAATTTATCTTGTGCTGTGTGCTCCTCATTCCTACTGTTGTCTAACTGGTGATGCAACTCTCTTTATCTTCATCTTCATCTAAGAATAAATGTTTTTAAATGTATATTCTAAGTTGAAGCAGGCAGAACAGTTGTGGGCCGAGTAACACATTGGTTAAAAGTCCCCAATTTATCAACAACATTTTGAATTCAACTCATCTCGACAAATCCAGACCTTTTTTTCTCTGCATTTAAAAGTCCGTCAATTGCACTTCATTCCACATACTTGGGTCTAAATAAATAAAATCTTGAGCTACAACTGCTTTTTAAAAGGAGGGACCACGTTGCAAAAAAAAAAAAAAAACCATAACAAAGAGCATACAAACAAATGTACAAAACTACACAGAAGAATTAGGATTATTTTTGGACACGCGCACCCTGGAACGATAACGCAAAGCTTCCCCGGCTTCCTGGCGATAGTTTACACAATAGTTTCCGTCGACTTTTGCAGAAGTGCCTTTGTAAAAAATAGAAGTTTATAAAGAGTCTTTGGTCTCGGATTTAAAGTTCTCCGTGGGTTCGAGTTCTCCGTGGGTTCGAGTCCTTCGTGCGGGCGAGTGGAGGTGGACTGGGATGGCTTGGCATGGCTCAGGTCAGTGTTTGAACGCATAATAAGTGCTTTGGTTGAGAGTCAATATTGCACTGTTCCTTCTTGGCTTTTGTTACGTCGACGCAGACACAGATTTCTCACCGATTCCTCAGATTGTCAAAGCTAGCTCTAAATATTGGGTTAAAATTTAAGAAAGACGCAATGGATGAAAAGTATATATTAGCGGCTTCGACACTAAAGCTGTGACCGAGGCCAAAAACACTTGTGAAAACAAGTGGTGGAACTGTTTTAGGGCCAGGATTCAGTTCTGTACAGTTCAGTTCTGGGCGGCACGGTGGCTGAGTGGATAGCACTCTCGCCTCTCAGCAAGAAGGTCCTGGGTTCGAATCCCGGTCGGACCAGGGCCTTTCTGAGTGGAGTTTGCATGTTCTCCCTGTGTCTGCGTAGGTTTCCTCCGGGTACTCCGGTTTCCCCTACCACTAAAAATATGTCCAATAGTTCTGGCATGCGCCTCCTGTACTGGCCCCGCTCCCATCTCTGTGTGGAGTGAGAGACAAATGCCCAAAATTAACAATTGTAAACCGCTTTGAGACTCAGATCTGCAGTGAAAAGGCGGTATATAAATAAAGATTACTACTACTACATGATATTGTATTACATTGTGGTATTTTTTATGTGCTTTGAAAGTTACGGACCCCAGCTTTAATGGTGGCTCTCTATCTCCCAATGAGGAACAACAAATTATGAGAAAACATATTACAGTGCCGTGTACAGTAAACAAGACTTGATATATATATATATTTTCATTCAGTTTTAGTCCCATTGATTTTGAATTAATATGAGAAAGTAATTTTGCTCTGGTCTTTCGGTTGCGTGGACTGGATCATTCGAACCAAGTAAACTTCAGTCTGATTGTTGACAGGACAGACGGCCATAACTATTTCTCCTTATTATCCTATATTCAAGTATTTAATCTTCCCAATAAACTATGTATTAGGAGTGGTCTGATCGAGTGTGACATCACCACAGTGTTAGCCTTAATGTGGAAAAATCTGATTTGAACATAAGCTGGCTAGAGCTAATATCCTTATATGGGCATTTGTTACGACGGGGTTAGCTTTGTGCCATGACGGGCAGGCGTGTTGCTAAGACGGTTGCTATCTGTAGTTTCTCTTGCAAATGAAGGTTTCTGATTGGTCGCTCATTAAGGCGCATGTCTGGATTTACAAAGTCTATATTATAATTTAAACAGCAGGATCATAGAGAGCGCTAAACCGTGTATTTAGCTTTACTTTAGCTTTTAAGCCCAAAATGGTGAGCAAGAGGAGTTTACTTTTACCTGGAAGTCGATAGGAGCCAGAGAGAGGAGCAAAGTTCAACAACATTGATGGACAGTGGTCTCTGCCCCTTATGGACCGATGGCTCCATGTGTTTGTTTTCATTGCATTTCCTGTGTTTATATTGTTTGATTCTCTGATTGGTGGTTTCATTGAGCTAGCCTGTTAGCATCGTCCATCCATACACAGTCTATACAGTCTTCCCAGTGGTCCATAATACTGAACCCATGCCACGCCAAGCCGCCCCACACTTTAGTGCCTCCTCCGGTCCCCCTTGCGCTCTAACGCCTTCGATCGGCTGGAGTTAGAGGACGAAGGCGGTGGCCGGGTAGACGTCTCGCGGCGGGTTGAGGCTCTTGAAGGCGAAGGGCGTGGTGATGTCACAGCTGCGGAGAGAGGGCGCACTGCCACTGGGCGCCTGCCATGTGCGAGTGTGCGCGCTCACACAGGCCGAGCTGCTGCCGCTGAACCCCGTGTAGGGACACACTGGGGTGGGAGGGGGGTAAGGAGGGAGGCCCGCCGTGACATAGCTGCTCGCTGTGCTGGGCAAACCACTCTGCATCTGCAATCAGAGAGAGAGAGAGAGGTGTTATACAGGTGTGTGTTTCCCAAGCTGGGGTCCCTTTGCTTTCATAAAGATCATATTCTTGTCACAAAGGCCATCTTGGTGTTTTCTGGATTCCTGGCTCAGAGAATAGACTTATTAAAGCAGCTTTGTTTGTGGACAAGTCTTTCCATCGGTATATGGGACAGGGACTGACCTGATGGCACATACTGGTTGCCTCACTTCTGTCAGTGTGCCCCAGGGCAGCTATGGCTACAGTAGTAGTTTATAATCACTGTTTTTGGAGTGAATGAGTATTGAAATGTGAAGCGTCTTTGAGAGTTGAAAAAAGCGCTATATAAAACGAATGCATTATTATTATCAGCCGCCCCACTGTGGCACCTGGTGTTCCCAGAGGTCTCCCATCACAGTACTGACCAGGCCCTGTCCTGCTTAGCTTCAGAGGTCTTCTACTACTACTACTCTACAATTCCAGCTCCTACTATGCTTTTCCCTTTAGTCCTTTTGCCTGTCACATGTTCTCATCTCTCTATTCTCTCTTGTTCTCATTAAAAAAGCTACTATTTGAAGACACACACACACACACACACACACACACACACACTGAGACACACACACACAAAATCCCCCGACATTAGTCCACACATAAAAACCATATTTCCTCAATACATGCAGACTCACGCCCCTGGTATTATTACTGCACTGAACATGGGATGACACCACAGATGTTTGAAGGGGGGGGAGAGGGGGGGAGGAGGGGTGAGGAGGGGGAGAGAGGAGAGGGAGAAGCTTTGAGAGCCTTCTATTGCGGTTCCAGAGGCTTTAAAAACAGATGTCACCGAGTTAAAAAAGAAAGAGAGGGAAAAGGCGAGGGATTGATGGAGGAGCAGAGGGAGAGGAGCTGGAACCAGGACAGGACTAAACAGGAGGAATTTGGATTTTTCAACAGGGACCTCAGCCCCCCCATTGCTGCTCCTGGGTGGTCGACTGTAAGAGGAGGAATTATTACCATGCAAATATGTGGGTTTTGGTTCTTGTCTTGTCATTAGCTATTTTTACAGAAGATGTGAAGTGGTTCTGTCTGTAGAGGATTTATGATGCATTAGACATTGATCTAAAAGTATGTGTCTAAAAGTGATGAGTCCAGCAAGTCCTGGGTCTACAGCCTCAGTCCTGGATCTACAGCCTCAGTCCTGGATCTACAGCCTCAGTCCTGGATCTACAGCCTCAGTCCTGGATCTACAGCCTCAGTCCTGGATCTACAGCCTCAGTCCTGGATCTACAGCCTCAGTCCTGAATCTAAAGCCTCAGTCCTGGATCTACAGCCTCAGTCCTGGATCTACAGCCTCAGTCCTGGATCTACAGCCTCAGTCCTGAATCTACAGCCTCAGTCCTGGATCTACAGCCTCAGTCCTGGATCTACAGTCTCAGTCCTGGATCTACAGCCTCAGTCCTGGATCTACAGCCTCAGTCCTGGGTCTACAGCCTCAGTCCTGGATCTACAGCCTCATTTCCACTACATTTTAAAGCATATTTTACGACTGTAGATAACACACAAACCAGTCACAATGTGTAAAAAAGGTAAACATTTAATTCCAACTTCTTTTCCTCAGCCGAATAAGCAATAACTAGTTAGCATCTCTCTTACTATGGACAGCACGACACTGTCCGGAGGCAAACAACGTATACATGGATTTCAAGTCACAAATCTCAATCGCAATCTAATCTGTTACATCACCACGACAACCAAAATATTCCCAGTTTATCACGTGACAAAGGGGTGAAAGGAGCGCCACAGAAGCAAACATGTTATTGCTGATTTAGCTCCTCCGCCTCTGGAAACCTTTGTCAAACTTTGCTCTGAACAAACATCTCGGGCCTTCGTGAACAAAAACAAAAAACAAATCAGATCCCAAAAAGGCATATTTTAGAGATATTTTATGTGTCCTTTATTTATATTAGAAACAGTATTTATGGTTGTATTTTTGTGTGAGGTCAGTGTGTTATAATAATTGTGATGTGTGTGTTCTCAGATGGAAGCTGCAGCCAATTCTGGTTTCAGGCGCTTTTGTCATATGAAAAAAATACATACAATTAAACAGAATTTTTGGGAGCAGCCCTGAATATTTGTCAAGCATTGGACTTTCACTGCTGATTATGAGACAATACCTATAAATCCATTTCAAATCAGTTCATTTCCGTTTAGTTTCGCCCTGAATCGCAGCAGCAGTCGTCGTGGAGGACATTACAAAGTTGTGAATTCGCCAACAACAGATCAGAGAATCAAACATGCACTTATAACAAACACATAGAGCCATTGGTCCATAGGGTTAGGGTCGGAGGTCTCGCAGCATCACCTCCTGCATCGACAAAACTCAAAGACACAACAATATGAACCCACAGCCCACACTTTTGATTTACATTTCTCTAAGGACTGAGACCAAAGCAGTCAGTGTGACCCTGAAACAGCACGAAACAACTCATTATTGACTTTAACCAAAGAAATGAGACGATTGTAAAATTACATTATTGCACTTTTTAGTATCAAATGACTTCTATTTGGACCTTATAAATGTTGAACTGTCATGTAAAGGCCAGTGATCTCGCACTAGATCTCCAAATTATCAGTCTATCAGCATTGGTTGCATGCAAATTAATAAAAGATTCCTCGTTCCTATATGTTCTGTGAAGTGGAGGACAAAGACGAGTGAAATTTTAGACCTGCTTAAATCTTTCTTAAAGCTCGGGTACCTGACTTTCAAACCATAAAATGTGCCTTTATTTATGGTTTGAGAGTCCTCAGTCCTGGATCTACAGCTTCAGTCCTGGATCTACAGCCTCAGTCCTGGATCTACAGCCTCAGTCCTGGATCTACAGCCTCAGTCCTGGATCTACAGCCTCAGTCCTGGGTCTTACAGCCACAAATACAAATCAGACAAAAGCTAAAAGACAAGAACTTTTGGCGATACACATATTTTTGGGTGAATTCAGACGCAGCCCTTTAGTGTCACATCTTTGCTCTTTTCCCACGCTCACTCATTAACAATGCCCCGACTACCACAACATTTACAGTACGTCTCTGGCCGCTCTATTCTCAAACAAGAACCACCTTTCTATTAAAATTGCTGCAAACAACAAGCGCTAACAAGAGCCTCACAATCCCAGCTGGCACAGACACCTGCCGCTGCTGTCAACAACTTTATACGGCTTCACAACCCCCCAATCCCCTGTTATTTGGCCAAGGCTAATTGTGCGCCGCAATCTTTGTACCAAGGAGATTAAAAGGGCTGCAGCAGCCCCCCAGGGTCAGAAATACTCATTCCCCAAAGGAGCTTCTGCAAAAATATGGGTGAAAATACTAAGTGTAGTTTCAAACAGTCTTACGCAAAACTCTGTGACATGTTAGAGCTGTAAGAAGCAACTCTGAGGAGCACAGGGACTGCCTCCTGATGGGACTCTGAGGAGCACAGGGACTGGCCTCCTGCTGGGACTCTGAGGAGCACATGGACTGGCCTCCTGCTGGGACTCTGAGGAGCACAGGGACTGGCCTCCTGATGGGACTCTGAGGAGCACAGGGACTGGCCTCCTGATGGGACTCTGAGGAGCACAGGGACTGGCCTCCTGCTGGGACTCCGAGGAGCACAGGGACTGGCCTCCTGATGGGACTCTGAGGAGCACAGGGACTGGCCTCCTGATGGGACTCCGAGGAGCACAGGGACTGGCCTCCTGCTGGGACTCCGAGGAGCACAGGGACTGGCCTCCTGCTGGGACTCCGAGGAGCACAGGGACTGGCCTCCTGCTGCATGGGACTCTGAGGAGCATAGGGACTGGCCTCCTGCTGGGACTCCGAGGAGCACAGGGACTGGCCTCCTGCTGGTCTCAGAGTCAAAACTAAACATGAGGAGCTAGGCGGATTTTCAGATTTACGCAGCTAAAATCTGGAAAAGTCTTCCTGAAAATGTGAGGCTCCATCCAGGTTAAAGACAGTTCTGAGGGATCCTATCTTTTTAATGTTTGATTATTTCCTTCTTGTTATTTTCAGTACTTCAGTTGTCTTGTGAATGAACTGTGCTTTACAAATAAACTTTTGCCTAAAACCAGGCAACTGTACAACACTAAAAACTCTAAATTCGAGCAAAAAAAGCTCTTTCTCTTTCTCTGTCTCTCTCTCTTTCTTTATCTCTCTGTGTTTCTTCTCAAAATTAGGTGCTATGGTAACCAGTACTTGAACCAGGACCAGTCTGGTCTAATTTTAATAGCCGTAAAATCACAAACTTCTGAAGACCACGAACACATAAGCAAAGAAATTGCACTCCCAACAGATGAAAAGCCGTCAAATGGACTGCTCTAAGTTTCTCTTATAGTTTCAGAATCCTGAGAGTCCTGTGATAAAAAACAACATCTATATAAACTCAAACTCAGAAGCCTCTCCGTTTCACGTCTGAGTCTGGTGTTATTTGACTGTGATCCACGCAGGAACAGAAAGTCTCCTCCTCTCACCTGACGTGACGTGGCCGCTGCAGACTCGGGTTCAGCTGCTTTTACGTCGAGCCAAATGTATATAATCGCGTTGGAAAGTTTTCTCAAGCTTCCAAGAAACCATTAAGTCTCCAACAAATAACTTGCGGTCCCATTATTTTCTGTTTCAGCTTCTGTTTAACGGGATAAGAGCGTGACATCCTCTGACTGCGCGTCTGAAGGGCCGCGTTATGTCTGAGTTATGTCTAAGATAGAGCTGCAGTGGAGACTACTCTAATCCTCTGTTTATCTCAGTAAAAAGACATTTATATGCGGTTGTTCCTCCATTATATGCCTCACTTGTTCTTGGAATAACCCTCTAAAAGAAGCGACTAATGAAAACATGAGTGAAACTGTCGGGTCAGTGAGACGCAGACGCATGCGCATGCGCAGAGACTTTGATTTAGATCTGGGCTGTAGCAGTCCATTTGACGGCTTTTCATATATATATATATATATATATATATTTATATATATAT